TCGGATGCCAAAAAATATGAGAATTGTCGCGTATTACCCTTTTCGCTCAACTGTGAAGGACACTTTTAGCCAGGATTAAAATAATTCAGTCAGTATATCTCAAGTTGTGTCATTCAGATGCTCACTTGCGCTAATAAATCAGCTTTAAATAGCACAAACTAATACAAAAAGTACTTGGGATATTATTGGACAACCTTGTCCACATAACACATCACTTTGATCTATAATAAAATGAAAGGTCCAGCGTTAAGGAGAGGGCCCTGACTCTAACATGTCCAGGGCAACTCCCTCAACACCTCATTACCGTCCTTGTTTGAAATTGGTGTTGAGATATGTGACCATCGACAGTAACTCCTTTTGTAGCCTGAGGTGGGTTCCAAAAGAGTCCTATTTAGGGGAGTTCCGGTGCCCGGTATCAGCCTCTTACCTCCCAAAAAGAAGTCAGGAGTTTAAATATTAAAAGAGACAAGTGTGTGGAAATACTAATTAAAATAATAATAATAATAAACTTGCATACTAACTAATATAAGTACTAAACTTTTCAAACAAACACACAATTACAGGACTGACATAAATACTAGACACTACAGTAGAGTTTTATTTGTGACAGCGTAGTGCTTATTTGTCAGAGAGTTTTCATAGATTATGAACAGCAAATGCAACGTCAGTAAAACTTCTTATTTGGAATCACCACTTGTTAAAAGCCTCTTCTTAATCACCACTGGTAAAAAGCCTACTATTATATCTCTGGGAGGCAGACTTTCCGTGATAACACTGCAATTAACATACTCATCTATCCATTTAAATAAAACAGGAAATTTCTCCCTTGTCAGCAATTCAGTTCCACTTATTTCCTGGAACACACCAGCCCAGAGAGATAAGACATTAGCCACAATGTCAACCAATCCGATATCGTCTCCACCAAAGAACCTCTTACCCTGGAGCTCATTTTCAAGGGTTTTCAGGAGCTCATATCCCTCTGCCATGGCTTCCTCTTTCTCCTTGTCTTTGCTCCAATTCGCCTTCCATATTGTAGTGTGGCACTAAAACACACAGTACAAAATTTAATTTGTGCGCGCAATATGCATAAAAAAATCTTACAATAGAGTGTAATGTTAGGAGAGGGGAAGTATCAAAATTAAATTTATAATGTTTTATTTTAAAAAAAACCAAAACTATGAGTATAGACAATCCAAATGGTTAGACAGGTACTTTTGTTGAGTTGAATTGAGTAATGCATGAGAATCTTAAAAGTAGGACTAATCCTTATCAGTTTAGCTGAGTTGTCAGTGAGCAACACTTGAAACACTGTTCAACATAGCATATTGGGCTGCAAGTGGGGTTGGACCAACTCTACCCGGTCTCAACCCAACTTCAATTTGAATCGAGTTGGGTCAACCCGAATTGTATCCAATATAAATTATGGTCCTAACCTGATCTGAATATTTTCGGACGGGTTGAGTTTTTTTTAATTTTTTTTCTTTTATAAAAAATATATATATTATATATATTTGATCATATTATTATTAAAAAACAAAATATTTTTAGGGCAAATCATTTTAGCCTCCCCAATCGCTTCCAGTCCTATTCTTAACTCTCTCTCTCTCTGCGCAACTGCTAACTACAAAAACCTATATATTTCAGTTTATCTATGTGTCTGCAAGAATCAAAATTTCAAAACCCTTATCCGCATCTCATTTCAGATTGTTCAAAAAATCAAAACCCATATCTTTCAATTTCCATCGCCCGCTGTTCCAGTTCATAAGCTTCAACCGCCGTCTCTCAACTCCCAAGTTTGCCCACCTCTCTCTCTGCAACTGCTAACTTGTATGTATGGGTTTTCTTTTAATTTTTGGAAGTGATGGCGGCGGCGGCGGCAGAGGTGGAGGGACGACGACAACGGCAACAAAAGGGACGGCGGCCACAGAGGGGACGACCGAGAGAGAAATAGAAAGAAGAGAGAGGAGAGAGAAAGGAGAAAAAAAATAAAAAATAATTTTTATTTTTATTTTTATTTTGGGTTTTGGGTTTGGTTCAGGTTTAGCCCGAACTTAACTTGAATATGTCTGGGTTTTGATAAAACCAATCCGAACATGAGCCCGATTTATGAAATTTAAGTTCAAATTTTAAAATTTCTTGATTGGGGTTGGGTTGGGCTGGGCTAGATTAGCCCACCCAAGTTGCAGTTGGCATATAGATTTGGTAGAAAATTATTAGTAGCCAACAGTCCTTTCTACAAAAGTCAATATAATAATCTACTTTGAACATGAAATTGATTCCTAACTTCTTGAAAACTATGGTGTTTTAGTTTACTTCTTATCAGTGGGCAAACACCATCACATGTATCAATTCTAATTATAAGAAGACCTACTATTGTGGAATCTGGAATCTGAGGAGGGTCAGATGATGTAGGCAATAATTCATTTAGAAGTCCTGCCTTCTAACCTCATGCCAAATAAGCCAAGTTGTTCCAAAACCTAAGGTTGAAAATGACATAAACTATAACTATACAATCTATATAGTGTTTGAAAGTATTGTGTGTATACAGAGATCGAAGACAGAACATACCTTGTCATCTATGAACTTAGCCCAGAAACGTGCCATGGCTCTGTCATAAGGATGTTTGGGCAAAATGGGATGGCCTTTCCAGGTGTGGTCGATGTATTCAAGAATAACGACTGACTCACAGATGGGCTTTCCATTGTGGAAGAGCACGGGAATTTTCTTGTGAACAGGGTTGGACTTGAGAAGCAATTCACTCTTCTTACCATAGACTTCTTCTTCTTCTATGAATTCATATTGGACACCCTTTAGCTTCAGAGCAATCTCAACTCTGCAGCTAAAAGGGCTTCCACGAACCCCAAGCAACTTCACTTCATCTGCCATCACAACACTTATTTTAGTTTCCTGGCACCAAACACAACTTAAGACTACTATATTTTCCAATTCTGATGTGGGTCTTTTATTGTGGAATTGTTAAGTTTTTATAGAGGGACCATAACATTTGGTTACTTAGCCAACAAGACTGACTATCTATTTGTATAATAATATAATATGAATATTTTGACCAAACCCATTCATTAGTAAAATCTTATGAAATTGGTGGATGAGAGTGTGCGAAAAATAAAAGTAGAGAGTGCGCTCAGAAAACGACAGCCAAGAAAACGATAGCTATACCCATTAAGATGAATCGTGTCTTTATGATATAATTTCATTTGCACATGGCTTACAGTTGAATTAGTCAGAGGATACATGCTTGTTTTTTTTGGCGGGATAACTGCTTCATTAATGATATATTTCCTAAATAACTGACCTGTTGGGTGACCTCACCCACTCTGTCCTTCAACCTAATCCTTATATATAATATTAAAGTAATGATAACATTATAAATTTTATTGTTTAAACATAAACAAAAAAGCCGAGAAACTGTTGGGTTTGAATTTCGGGATCAAATTCTTTTTAAGTGGTGAAGAATGTGACAACCCAAATTTTTAAGATTTTAATTTATTTAATTATATTTTATTTAGTTGTCATAATTAAATAATTTAATTATGATTGGACTTACCTAATTGAGATTTTTAATGGGTTGAATTGCTTTTGTTATATTGGTATATATAATTTGTATCTTGTCTGTGGAGAAGGGCGCCTGCCGAAATGAGATTAAAGAGATATTTATGGTTGATTGAATTTTTGTTATATTGTGTGTGTGTGTGTGTGTATATATATATATATATATATATATATTATGTATCTGATGGAGATAAAGGGAGTAGCGAAATTGCAGAGAGAAATATAGATTGTAATGGCTTTTTGGTGGGTCCCATGGAATAATGGGTTGATTTTGGTTATATATATGTAATGTGTGTGTATGTATATATATATATATATATATATATATATATATATTGTTGGTTGATGAGAACGAAGTGGCAGCAAGTGGTCTGCCGAATTGAAAAAAAAAAAAAAAAAGAGTTTGAAATGGTAATTTTGAGGGGCTCACTTGATTAATATTTAAATAGGTTTTGATTTGTTGTTGCATGTTATATATATATATAATGAATCTGATGGATAGTGAGGCTGCCGAAATAGGGAAGCAAAAGAGAAGCTTGAAATGGTATTATGGTGGCGGGTCCCACTAATATATTGTTCTTTTTGCTTTTGACTTTCAGGTGGCCTTTGTTTTGTGTGGTGGGCGGTTAGCTGAATTAGAGGAATAAAGAGAAAATGGTGATGTAGGTAACGAGATCCACTAATAATTGTGATCATTATTTTGATTTTGATTTTTTTTTTTTTTTTTTTTTTTTTTTTTTTTTTTTTTTGATTAGCTGTTTGCATTAAGTCGGTGGATATGCCTTTGTATATAGTGAGGTGTGTTTGTGCACGAAGTGAGGTTACATAGAGAACCGTGCGAACAGACAGAGAGAGAGCCGAGAAGGACTTGAAGACTTTGATGATCCATGATATTTCTTTTACAGTGGATTTAGACTTTGCTACTGAAGGCAAAGTCGACGAGCGCGTCTAGATCTACGATTTAATCGGAGCAAAGTCTCGTTTGGCCGCCATTGGATTTCGAAAAATTGGACCCACTTTGGGGGTTTTCTCCTTCTTTGAGGTAGGGATGTTTAATTCATAATTTCTTGAATTTTTGTGAATTATTCTTGTATAAATTGTTATCTAGCATGCCTATTTTGTATAAATTCTTGCAAAATTTTTTAAATGTTGAATATGTAGTGTTTAATTATGTGTAAATGGATGTGTGGTGATTCAAGCATGCTTCTATGGACTAGAATTCATGTTTTATATGTTGCCATGCTAGATTATTATTAAATGAAAGCATGTTGTATTTTTATGGGAAATTTCTTATAAAGCTTGCTAGTGGTTTAAGTTGAATTAGTTGTGAAATGTTAAATTGCGGCATGAAGTATCCATGCACTTCATTGGGAGGAAATGAGAATGATGTTTTGAAAGAAATGAAAAAGGGTTTTTGAGAAAAACCCGGACGCGGAGGGGGTACTGAGGGTCCGTAGCGTTAATATAACCTAAAGAGAATTCGAAAAATCACCCTAGCGTGGTTGAGCTATTTGAGTCTCAAATGACGCCGCAGGGTTACCAAAGGTCAAGGACAGTAGCTAATCCTTCTCTCGTATCGCCGAGGAATCACCGAGGGATAGATTATGTTAACGGTTTTGAAAAGTGATGGATGGTTTTGAAAATGGGGAGCGACATAGCATGGCATCACATTTCATAGCACGCCATTATTTATTTTTGGACTTGAAATTGTTGAAATTTTTTCTGATATAGCATGATCCTGTTCCTTATACTTCTATTCATTGTTTAGATTCACGAGGTCACAAGAGGTGTTTCTTAGGCATCACCTACTGAACAATTTGCTCACCCTTTATATTTAATATTTTCAGATCACGAAAAAGAAGTGGTAGATAACATTCCACCACAGGCCTAATATGGATTAGAAGATGATTTTGTTGTTTTTGTATTTAAGTTTCACTATTCTTTTGTAAAATTTAGAATATTGTATTCTATACTGAGACTTATGGACTTTTGTTATTATAATTATATTCATGGGCTGTAATTTTAATATAAGTTGTCTAAACGTTGTAAGATATGGACTTTTGGTCTTAACCATATTTTAGAGACTGTAATTATGATATTTGGATTAAATAGTATGTGGTTGTTCCACTATGAGATGAACTATATTGAGGCATAATAATTGGATGAAAGAAATGTTGAAATGTATCATTTGCATTGTGTGTTGGGACAGTTTAGATAAGTTTTGAAGGTTCAAGAGAGGGCATTGCATTTTTATACATTTAAGCAGATTGTTGTAGGACCCCTTTTAGCAGAAGTGATGTCAATTTTTATTATTATTATTTTTTTAATTGGTGTCATTTTAGAGCCGTTACAGCATAACAGTATGTTGTCTAATTATGTTGTGGTGGGTTTTACATTATGCGATTGTTAAGTTTTCGTAGTGGGAGTATAAATAATAATTTATTGACCTTTTGGGAGTGAACGTCATCCATCGTGAAATTTTTGTATCAAAGTTAACATGCTGCTTGCTATTTTTATTTGGCGAGAGGAGATGATTGTAGAAAGACTTGAAGGCATGTCATACATTACCTTTTTTTGGCTCAATTGGGAAGGACTATTTGAGCCAGGGTTAAAATGATTCAGTCAATATTTCTCGAGTTCTGTCATTCAGATGTTCACTTGAGCTAATAAGTCAGCTTTAAATAGCACAAACTTACAAAAAGTACGTACTTGGGATATTATTGAACAACCTTGTCAACAGAACACTTCACTTTTATCTTTAATGAAATGAAAAGTAATAATAAACTTACATGGTAACAAAGAAAAGTACTAAACCTTTCAAACAAACACACAACAGTACTGACATAAATACTACACACTACTTAAGGTAGAGTTTTATTTGTGATAGTGTACTAGTGCTTATTTGTCAGTGTTTTAAGAGACTATGACCAGCAAATGCAGCATCAATAAACTCCTTATTTGGAACCACCACCATAGCGAGCTTGGAAAAAGCCTACTAGTCTATCTCTGGGAGGCAGACTTTCCTTGATAACACTGTAATTAACATACTCATCGATCCATTTAAATAAAACGGGAAATTTCTCTCTTGTCAGCATTTCAGTTCCACTGACTTCCTGGATCACACCAACCCAGAGAGATAAGACATTAGCCACAATGTCAACCAATCCAATATCGTCTCCGCCAAAGAATCTCTTACCCTTGAGCTCATTTTCAAGGGTTTTCAGGAGCTCATGTCCCTCTGCCATGGCTTCCTCTTTCTCCTTGTCTTTGCTCCAATTCGCCTTAGATATTGTAGTGAAGCACTAAAACACACAGTACAAAATTTAATTTGGTGCAATATGCATAAGGAATCTTACAATAGAGTGTAATGTTAGGAGAGGGGAAGTATCAAAATTAAATTTATAATGTTTTATTTTTAAAAAAACTAAAACTATGACTATAGAAGATCCAAATGGTTTTGTTGAGTTGAATTGAGTTATGCATGAGAATCTTATAGGTAGGACTAGTCCTAATCAGTTTAGCTTAGTTGCAATGAGCAGTACTTGGAACATTGTAGTTCAACATATTATATAGATTTGCTAGAAAATTATAAGTAGCCAACAGTCCTTTCTACAAAAGTCAATATAAAAAGTCAACTTTGAACATGAAATTGATTCCAAACTTCTTGAAAACTATGGTGTCTTAGTTTACTTCTAATCAGTGGGCAAACACCATCACATGTATCAATTCTAATTAAAAAAGACCTACTATTGTGGAATCTGAGCAGGGTCAGATGATGTGGGCAATAATGCAGTTAGAAGTGGTGGCTTCTAACCTTTTATGCCAAATAAGCCAAGTTGTTCCAAAACCTAAGGTTGAAAATGACATAAACTACAACTATACAATCTATAGTGTTTGAAAGTATCATGTGTATATAGAAATTGAAGACAGAACATACCTTGTCATCTATGAACTTAGCCCAGAAACGTGCCATGGCTCTGTCATAAGGATGTTTGGGCAAAATGGGATGGCCTTTCCAGGTGTCGTCGATGTATTCAAGTATAACGACTGACTCACAAATGGGCTTTCCATTGTGGATGAGCACAGGAATTTTCTTGTGAACAGGGTTGGACTTGAGAAGCAAATCACTCTTCTTCCCAAACAGGTCTTCTTCTTCTATGAATTCATATGGGACACCTTTTAGCTTCAGAGCAATCTCAATTCTGCAACTAACAGGGCTTCCACAAACCCCAAGCAACTTCACTTCGTCTGCCATTACAACACCTGGTTTAGTTTCCTAACACAAAACACAACTTAAGTGTTAAGAGTATTATGTTGTCTAATTCTGATGTGGGTTTTTGATTCTGGGACTGATAAGTTTTTATAGAGGGAGCATACCTTTTCGTCACTTGGCCGCCAAGACTGACTCTGTCTATTTTGTATACTAATATAATATGAACATTTTGACCAAACCCATTCATTAGTAGAATTTTATGCCGCGGTTCTATCAGTAAAATTTTGTATAAAAGTTAACAACTATATATATATATATATGTTGAGAGGAGATGATTGGAGAAAGACTTGAAAACATGATCCAAATTATTAACAGTAATTAAAATGGTTAGTAAAAAATTGAATTATATGTTATGTTATTAAATATAAGGTAAGGTCAAGCCGTATACTAAGTCACATAAAGCGGGAGTGGGAGCAGAATATAAAAATGACAAAATTAAATTACAAATAGTGAGAATGTGAGAGAAAGTGCACGGAGAGTGAAAGCAAGAAAGCGTTTAGAGAAGAATTGTATCTTCTTCACTTGCACTAGTAAGAGGATACATGATGCTTCTTCTTCTTCTTCTAAATTTTTTTTTTTTTTTTTTTTTTTTTTTTTTTGCTGGATACCTGCTTCATTAATGATATATTTCCTAAACATCTGACCTATTGGGTGACCTCACCCACTTTATCCTTCAACCTAATCCTATTATATATATATATATATATATATAAATAATCCCATGAAATATTAAAGTACTGATAACATTATAAATTTCAACGTTCAAACGTAAAGAAAAAGACAAAAAGAAAAATGAATTCACCTTATGGGCAATTGTCCTTCTAGTTCCTTCTGATTCCTAGTAAATTAAGACTTGTCGTTGGTGTCAAAATGATGTCGTTTGCTATTACGACATCGTCCTGAATTATCCATTTGACATTGAATGAATTCTAAGTTGTAACGCTCAGCACCAACAACTTAACTTTGGTGCATTACAATGTCTCTTTTGTGGCAAATTTATAGCAACAATCTTTGAATAACTTTTATTTTTATGGTCCGGCAACGGTAAGATCTGCATCCAGAGCTTGACGAAGCCAGTTGGGCCAGATATTCCATTTCTAAATCCAAAGATGAGTTGTTAAAAGCCCAATTGCATGGGAGGTGGGCTCATTTGTTTGCAGCTCTTGGTGCCCAAACTAAATATCTTCTAAGATCACATTGTAATAACCTAACCATAGCCATCTTGTTCGCAAAGTTAGCTGCTTTTTTTAACAACATTCTAAAGTCATGTAAAAAATTTGGGCCAAATAGGTATATAATTCTATTTAATTTAATTTTTCTTTTAGCCAAGTCTAGGTGCCTAGGTTTTTATTTAACACATCATTCTAAAGTTGTCAAAGAACTTGGCCCAAATAGGTACTCCTCAATTACAGGGCTCTGTCGGTTGTGATGTTGAATATGTTGGGTCTCTCCCATTTCCTTGTGATATAAGTCATTTGTGATCTTTATTACTAACTGCTAAGCAATTCACTCACCCTCCACCCATGTTTGAATTCCTTAAATTTTTTAGAATGTATCATGGCACCTCTTGGGAAATAAAGGGCTGATAACCGCCGGTGACGTTAATAGTTCAAATTTATTCATTTCCATCTAAGACACTAAACATCCATTCCTAAAATCAGCTTTTAGGTAACAAGTTGCACAGGCAAGCATCTATAAACTCCGAAGGACTTGGAAAAATACCCCCAACTTGGTGGATTTGAATCTCTCCAATTGTTCTTTTTCTTTCCAATTTCTCCAAGCTTCAATTTAATGATCAAAATCATGCCACATCATCATCTGTGTAACTACTCATCATGTTTGGTTTCACACACAACTTAATTCAAGCAAAAATGATTATATTGTGTTTTATAACCGCTAAATTTAGGCTTGAAAATATTAGTGGAGAGGATCGAAGTTTCAATTTCGCATGCCAATTTTTTTATGATTGCCTTGTAAAGTGGGATTGCGCCATAAATATAGATTATAGATTGTAATTCTTGAGATTGGCATATAAAGTGGGATTGCGCCATAAATATAGATTATAGTGTGTAATTCTTGTCGAGTGAGAGTTTGATCAGTGTTTAGTAGGTCTATATCCTTCTATTATTATTTGTATTAATTATATTGAGATTCTAAATGGTGTTCTCAATCTTGATGGTGATATCTAATTAAAACTTGTGCTAAGAATAAATATAATATAAATTTTGTTAAAAACTATGATTAAATTGAAGCCTAATGAATTTAGGAATCATTTGAGAATTTAGACAACAAGAAGCAACCCAACCGCTAGGTTACGAAGGCATTGGCTTCTTTTGAACGTTTATATTTAGACGTTTATGGTGATTAGGATTCTTATTTTAATTTTTAGTAATTTTTTTGAGAAAGTTGACTTTTATATTTCTTTACGTTGTAAGAATTTTTGATGGTGTTTGTTTCCTTATAATTTAGGTTTTCTTTTCATTATAAATAGAGTAAAATAACTAATTCTATTATCTATATTATACCAAATTTCTATACGGTTGATATTTGATTTTTCTTATTTGCTCCAAGTTTGAGATTCACAGGAAGATTTTGAAGACAAATGAACTCAAGCTCTCAATGTACAAGCTCTCAAGTATTGTTCCAGCTGTTTGTTGTGGTTTTGTGAAGTCTGATTAATTTTTAAAAAGATTTAATTATTGTTCCAGCTGATCTGTTTTTGATTTCTTATTGGTTTTGGACTCTACAAAAGCCAAGTTCTTGGGGGACAAGGGTTATAT